GGGGGGGGGCTGCCGCTGTGCCCCCGGGCAGACCGCGTCCGGCTCCTTCCCTGCTCTCCCTACCGGTCCCATCCCCAGCGCGACGGCGCCTGAGCTCCTGCGAGATCCTCCGGCTGAGCGCGCTTCGACCGCGCTCGCACATCTGATTCCCGTCAGATGCGATCGCGGCTGGGGCAGGCAGAGCGGGCAGACTTTCGACCACGGAGCAGTTAATACGTCCCAGATTGAACGTGAAGATAAACCAGCTCCGCGGCACTCTGCGTTGGTGACAGGCGCTCGGCATTTTCTGCTCGCCCATCGGTTCAGAGCGACAGCCACCGCGGGAGAATGTGTGTTTTTTCGTAGTGATTAATTTTTCTCAGGACAAATTGCCATCTCTTCCAGTGTGGAGAGACTTAGCGCTCCTGTGGCGGTTTCGTGTTTTTTTTCTCCCCCACCCCTCCAATCAATTACCTCTCTGTCACATACCTATATTTTCACGTCCGGAAAGCACTTGTACAATTTTAACGCTGACAACCTTATTTGAAGGGATAATTTATCTCTAGGGCATCTTAATTAACCAGCCCCTTCCTCAGACTCCTTGACGGAGCGTCTATTGAAATCAGGGACAAATTTGCGTTTTAGGGATGGGTAAAATGCGATAGTGGAAAGCGGTTACGTCCCCTAAATGGCAGCTATTTCCTTTTTAGATTAGGATCAGAAACCTCAGCTGTGCCGCTCGACGGCCCGAACAGGACTTCCGAGACCGTAACACGGCGGAACAACTCTACGAATTTCTCTCTCTCTCTTGTGAGCGAGTTGAAGCCGAGCTCCTGTTCCCCGAAACGGCGGGATTTGCCCCATAATTTTTTTACAGAAGGGGGATTACTATTATCTTTCCTTCAAAGTAGCATGTCACCCCTTTTTAGTTCGGGGGAAAAAAAAAAAAAAAAAGGAGGAAAAAATATCACTGGACAAGAGCGAAAAAAAAAAAGCCACAACAAAGATCTCAATAGCTTTTTGCTTTCCCTTGGCATGTAAAGAAAATAATATCTGGCCCCAAAGCTTTAACAGTTTTGCTCACTGAGAGGTAGAAAAGGATTTTCCCCATAACTATTCCATGCACCTGAACAGGATTGTTATTAAAGTCGCTGCGGCTGGATGCGTCGGTGCTCGTACGAGATTCGGTTTAACTCCCGGTTTACTGGAGCTCCGGCGCCCGGCGGGCTGGGTGGGACGGGGGCCAGGGGCGCTGC